TGTAAAGTTGAATTGATTTTTATTAAAAGGATAAACATATGCACGATCTTAATTGTTGAATTATTATGTTTATTCTTGTGCTACAATGGAGTACCACTCAGCGTCAATGCTGAGCGGATAGCGTTGTTTTCTTTTGCTGTCCGTAGGTGATCAGACAGATGAACCTAGAGCCGATCCCAGAGGGCATTGAGGAGGAGATGTACGATGGCGTGGCTGCCTCTTTAATCTGTTGATTATGCTTTATTTAATTAACTTTAATGCTTATTACGTTTTCGGGCAAGATCCTAAGTTGTTTGACTTTAAAAAGGCTTCCGCATTATTTTAAATTACTCCGATGGATTTTTATATGTATTGGTAGAACGTTTGTTTAAAATTGTTTTGAAAATGTCGCAAATTCGGATACCAATTCAGTGGCACACCGGTCCGCTGTCTCACGGGTTTAGGTCATGCGGGTTGGGGTATTACAAAAAAGTTAAAACGGAGGCTTATATTCCATTGGAGCCTTGGAGAAGAGAATTACAATTGAAATCTAAACTACTCTAATAGAGCACAATTTTTTTACTATGTTTATCTAAAAGGTTAAAAATGGATTTACTCAAGTGGGAGTGAGAGCACCCAGATATTCAACGTGGTAAAAACACCCCGAGAATCTCCCCATCAGCAACCCCATCGAAACCGCCCCAAACGCCGCGCCGCTTACCAACGCCGCGCGGTATATCCACGCGCCACCCGACGCCCTCCCTCTTTCACAGCTATTCCCCTCCGATTCGCTTTCCGCCGCCGCCGTCTTCCCCTCCGAGTCACGCCGCCCCGTCAGCTCGTCCGGGACGTCGAAAACCGTAAACCCTGCCTTCCTGAAATCCTCTTTTCCGGGGCTCCCGTAGTCTTCGCCGCTGTCCAGACTCGGCTCGCTGCAGGAACACAACGACGAAGAATCGTCCGTCCCGCCGCCGTCGGGCGCCGCCGAGGTGACGGAGTAGTCTCCCCGGCGCCGGAAACGGGGGTCGGTTCGGCGGAGTTTCTTCCGCCTTCTCAGGGGCTTCACCATGTCTTCGGATCAGTAATGGGCGCACGTTGAAAAGGGATTGAATCATTAAACGAAATGGGGGGGGCGCGATATAAGGGCGCGACGGTTATTAACGGTTGAAAAAAATGCGGCGGGGGGTCTCATTCATTTACGCATCCGAATTAGTTGGGCCTGCGGAAAGCTTCAATGGATATTCTAATGGGCCAAAAGGTGTATTAACTATTAATAATTCGTGATTCGACAGTGTTTCACTCCCCACATCAATTTTGAATTTTCATTTATTTCCCCCAAAAAAAGTTAAAAGTCACAAACAAAATACTACAAAATTTATAAATTTAATATTTGTGAGTTTAAATTTTATTTTTAGAATTATATGAGACCATTTTATTCTTGTAGTAGTTAGCTTGTGGGGTTTTAAAATTGGCAAGTTTGTGAATTATGCGATTTTTTTTTTAATTTTAGCATTATTCTTTCCCCTTTTTGTAATACTATAATAAAAGTTTGTATGGAAAAAAGAAATAATATAAAACTATTTTTTTCTATATAATTGGAATAATGTTTTTTTAACTTTTGAGCAATAAATCGAAGTGGCTCCTATGACATTTCAATTAGTGAAGAATTAAAAAATACAAATGAGTAACAAAGGTAGGAGTGGATAAATTAACCAAACCACCTGTGGAACCATTGACCGAAGAGCGAAATAACCGAAAGTTTGGTTTCAATTTTGATTTCTCGCAATAAAAATGTTTGGTTTTTACTGTTATTCAGTTTCAAGTGTCGCTTTATTTGAAATCAGTTCAGTTCAGATCAGACCAAAGCATAAATAAGTTTCAATATAATTATATTCAGATTAGTTCATGCCAAATCAAAATTTATTCCAATCACATCAGAATCAAGCTATAGTATTGGACTTCGTTTGATACACAAAATTCAAACTATAGAATTAGAATTGAAGACTTCAATTCCAATTCTGCTTTTTAGTAGCACAAAAATCACAAAAATATGTGAATTTGAAATTGGTAGTGCAAAAAATGAATTGAAATTAGAAATTTCAATTCCAATCCAATTTCATCCGTTCCATATATCAAACGAACCCTAAAGTACCTCAGAGTATTGTATATAGCAGTCAACGGTTGCCACGCGCAGAAGGCAATGTGAGATAAAAGGGAATGGCGAATGTAGCTAACACCGGAAGAGGGAGGGCAGTTTGGGAATCGGACTGAAGATAGATAGATAAATAAATAAATAAATAAACAAAAAAACAAAAATACCAACAGAAAAGAATTCACAGGCAAAAGTTGAATCTGAGTTGTTGCAATAAAATCAAATACCATCCAATATTCTTATATTCCCCATACTCACAACCTACCAAATGAAGCAAGGTGTGACCAGAGAGAGGTGTTGGGCATGTATTTAGTGTTTGTTGCTATAAGAAATTTATTTCACCCATACGATATTTTTTTTTACCTGAAACTGGTTAACAAAATTAAAAAAAAAACTGCCTTCTATTTACAAAAAAATGAAGCTTCTGACAAAGTACTAGTGCTACTAATGCACAACAGATGGATGGTAAGGTCTGCATTTCAGCTGCTGCTGCTGTTGCATTTGGCATATCTCACTCATGACTCACCNCCCCCCCCCCCCCCCATCCAAAGCAACAAATTAATGTTGCTATGAACAAAAACTCAGATCACATAAGCAAGAGATTATTCACAGTGACCGTAGGCGAGTTTGTTCTCTGCAAATCCTGTCAATTCCATAATGATGCCGCCATTCAAAGATGTATCAACCAGTTTGTAACTAAACAACGCGAGGGCATAGAGAGCTATTAGGGGCCAGTTTGGTGAGTGTAGGGAATATGGGTTCTGATAAGAGACAACTTTTGTGGTTGTGGGTATTTTGTTGAAGCCTAAACATGGTTCGGATTTGATATCTCTCGATATTAAAACCCTCCCAAATAGGGTTGTTTGGTTTCAACCATACCGAATTTCAGCTTTTAAAAGCACATATCTTTTCTTCCAGATTGGAAAACTCATATCATATCAACCCTGCTTTGTTCACCAAACGGGCCCTAGGTGCTACAAACATAAGCGGATGCAGTTATTTCTAGAAGGAAACCAATGTGAAAAAAACGTACCTGGAAAATTATTTCATCCGGGATATGAGGCAAAACTTCCCTAACAGTTTCAGCCATTGCAATTAGTTGTGCTAAGTTGCCATTTACGGCGCCGTGTGGGGTCCTCAAGCGCAAACCGCTAGCGCTGTTGGGATTAGCAGGTGGGGTGGGTGAAGTGGATGTGGACGTGCTAGCCTGGGTGGGGGGATGATGCATAGATAAAAGACTCCACGCAGCGTCTTCAAGGGCAGTCTGAGCATAGGTTTCTCCCACGGCAGCAAGGTGTCTCATCATCATTTGAACTCGGCCTAATCCTCCCAATCTTACACTTGTAGACGGGCCTGCCCCGTCCGAACTCAGCCAACTTGAATCCATTCCAGCCCCTCTATGATGAATAATAGAAAACAATGGAAGCAACAAAGTAAATGGCATTACAAACTTTTTTTATGGTTTTACAGGCTAAAATGGGGAGTTTGGTAAACTACTTTTTGAATTGGCTTCTTGTAAGCTTGAAAAAAGTTGAGGGCCGCTTTGAGTTTTTTCTTCTTTTCTTGTCAGACTTTTATCTATTGACTTTTTATAATTTCTATTTTCTTTTTTTGAATTAATGAAAATAAATTAATGTATTAAAATAAATAAATGTTTACATAAAGATTAGACTATACAGCTAATGAAATTGGAAAATGGATATTTCCTTTTTAGTCCATAGTTATGATAAAAATAAATACGGAGTACATTGTTATAATATAGTCCGTAAACAATAAATCTTTATATACCTATATTTAAATCAGTAAAGAGTATCTTTTTAAATGTCATCAACTCACAAAAAATGGCTAACTTCACTAAGCTTCTTTTTTTTGGTAAACAAAAGGAATGCTGACTTTTTATAAAAAGGATATAAATAAAGTAACAAACCACATAAAAGAAGGAGAGTAACGGAACCTCCAATCACGGTTTTCCAAAGTGTTCTCCGGATGATTTTGGAAAACTTCAGTAGGAAGGGGAGGACCAGGAAGGTTTGGCCGATCAAGTACCCGACTCATTTGGCGTGCAAGCTGTTCATCTCCAGAAACTTGAGCAGTTTGGCTGTTCACTTCACTCCCATTTCTGCCCACAAAAAGTGGCTTGCGGCAAGTAGGGCAGGAATAATTCTCAGTTAAACCTTGATCTAACCTGATTTTGATGAAAAAATCAATTCTAAAAAGACCTTTACAATCTCTATTGCTAAGAAGGAAATATCCAAAGAAATTGGGCACACATTGGGGAACTAGGTGGGCCAACAAAAAAATGAAATCCCAAAAAGAAGCATGCAACCTACCAAGATCTCAAACATGCAAGATGGAAGAGATGATTGCAAGAGAGCTTCTTAGCCTTCGCCATTGGTTCCTGCCAGCATCTAAAAGTATGAAACATAGAAATGAAGACACACCCACTCACCTACCCATCAAAACCCCCAAACCCAAAAAAAAGGGCGTCGGTACCCGGCAAATAGCACATTCATCATCATAAGCCCGGAGCTCTTCAAATGATGCATCGGGAAGTGCACCATGAAGGGTGCCCAATGCCATTCTCAGTTTAACAAAGCCTTTTATGCGTTTCACAATTGCACTCAATAAGGCCTGATACCAACAACAATTAACAATTAGCAGTATAAAAATATTTTCTCAAATAAAAAGCAGCATTGTTAGTCCCTCAAACCCCTCAATTGTATATGTAGTAATCTATGACATGTGAGATGTCTTTCATTTTTTATTTTGTAATTGTAGTCCCTTGATTGTTATATAAGAGATGAACCTTTGGGTTAAAAATCAATTAACACTTAGTGATAAGGTCTGCATGGGCATTCTCGGGCCTCTTGGCAATATAAAATGCTGAGAATACCCCCACCCCCATAATCCCTTATATTGAATGGGGGTGATTTAGACAAGAGTTTTTCTAACTATAACTAAATTAAAACTACCGAGCGACTGAATTTACAAGGATTTTACACTTTAGCATAAAAACTCTAATTTCAGAAAAGAACACCAGATAAAATGATGGAAGGTAACATTTACACGAATGTTCAGAAAAAGGATTGCATCCATAAGATGAAACGACATGCCATGGAGCCACCAAATATGCACATAATGCGCAAGGGCCATCAACAATGTCATCATGTCCAGGAAAAAACCTATGTTCCGAATAAGAATGCATTTCCATTCCAAAAATGAACCTGCATTCACAGTGAGAATAATATAAAAAAATATGATTTGATTTTATAAAAAGAAAATTACATGTGATTAGATTTCTTAGTCTTAATAGTTAATAATATAGCCCCTCCATTTCACTGTGGATTCTATCCTTTTCTGTCCGTCCCAAAATATATTCAAATTTTCAAGGAAACAAATTTGTGGTTCATACTTTCTCTTTCCTCTAATAAACCTCAACCGCACACCCTTTCAATCTCTACAACTTTGTGCTAATTAAAGTTGGAATTTCCCTACGGGCGGAGGGTGTATTTAGATTTCTTAATATATATACACAATAATATTTTTATATACACAAATATTTAAAAATGATTAGAGTTTTTATAATTTAGCATGTCTTTCATTTCCTCCCATATTGTCTTTCATTCTAAATTTTCCTACCTAGTCTTTCCCTATTATTTCCAAGTTTCAAACACTCACTAGACAATATAGCATCACACTGCTTATGGAGAAAACAAAACTTTTATTCGAAAAGTCAAAGACAAAACAAGTCATTGTAGGCTAATATTACATTTAATTCAATGTGAAGCAGACACACACATTTGAAAATAAAATGTTTTTTTAACATAAATACCTGCAGCAGAAATGTCTAAGAGCTTAGAAGTTTGACTATTTGCAATATCTCCCAAAGATTGATGAAGCCATATATCTAGCAGTTGAAACCCATGTACCAGAATAGCCTAGGAAGAATAGTAGCAAATTAAAAACTACTGTGATCATGTGAAAATTATTCCCTCCACATTCCAAACCAGTTTTCTCCACCTTGACTTCATGGAGATTAAGAAAAGTA